TGAACAGCATTTTTATTTTTTTACACGTAGACATGTCATTTAAAGTTGGAACACATTTGGTATAAACAAAATAATTAGGAAAGAAAAATGTGATTAGAAAGTATAAGAATGACTTTTAAATTACTTTTTGCTACTCTGCATCTTCTTCATCCTAAAATGAGTATCCTTGATCCTGAGAACAGTCTGTCTATTCAATTCAGAAATGCAATCTATTCATACATCTTTTTCAGCAAAATACATCGGCTAGAAGTAGTGGTTCATGAAACTGGCCTTGAGGTGCAAAGTTTACATAGTGAACCTTTCATAGACTGAAGTTCTTAATAGAAAGTGTCTGTATTTAAAAAAAATATTTCTCTGCTTTAGAATCTTACGTGTTTATTTTCAAGAGGCCTCAAAGAAAACTGATTGACAGGGTCCTAATTTTACTTAGCATGATATCCTTTTTCAGGGATTGGTCTCTCTTGATAACATGTTCAAAGTATGTGAGATGAAGTCTCCCCATCTTTGATTCTTAGAGGTATTTGGTTGTACCTATTCAAATAAAGATTTATATGTTCCTCTCAACAGTACTTTTAATATTCCCCAGCACCATAATGCTGATGTATCGATTCTCTGTGTGCTTCCTGGTTTGTTGTCCAACTTCCACAGGGCTTCGGTCAGGCACGCCATAGTCTTCAAACTGACATCTTGCTATTCAGCGCTTTAAAGAAGTCTTGCAGAGCAGATTTGCCCAATGCAAGATGTCCTTGGATTTCTTGACGGCTGCTTCAATAAACATTGATTTTGGATCCAAGGAAAATAAAATCTTGGGCAACTTCCATCTTCTTTCTGTTTATCATGATATCATCTATTGGTCCAGTTGTGAGGATTTTGGATTTCTTTACATTGCGTTGTAATCCATACCGAAGTCTTTAATCATTGATCTTCATCAGCAAGTGCTTCAAATCCTCTGCAACTTCAATAAGCAAGTTTGTGGCATCTGCAATGCAATGTTCATCTTCCCGTAAACCAGTCTCTTGAAATGCTTGCCCAGCATACAGACCAAATAACCCTGACACACATCCTCCTTGATTTTAAGTAATGAAACTTTTCCATGTTTAATTCAAAGGATTGTCTCTTGGTCCTTATGCACATTCTGAATGAGTATATTGAACTATTCTGGCATTCCAGTTTTTCTCAATGTTGTCCATGGTTTGCTTTGATCTACAGAGTTGAATATCTTTATCTAGTCAATAAAACACAAGTCTGTCTCATTGTTGTTGTTTGAAAAGCCAATGACATAGCTTCAAGCATCGCAGCAACACACAAGTTAGCACAATACAACAGTCACTTCAGTTTTGCAGTTTGACCTTTGAAAGCTATCCTATTAGGCAAAGGGCATTTATAGAGGTCTAGATAAAGACATGTACATATGCAAATATATTTATAGGAGGATGGGGAAATAGATCTATGTGCCTATGTTTATAGGTTTAGTATTAAGGTAGCAGAAGGACATTGGGCCT